CTGTTACATCCTGATCTGTCTCAACCAGTCCTATAGGCCTGTGTGTGGGAAGGCTCCGATCTTCCCACTCTACTGAAAATGGCCACAAGGGCAGTGAGCTCCTCAGCTCAGGGCCAGCCAGGCTCAGGCCATCCTGAGCTGGACTCTGCTTCTCCCCAGAGCACTCATCCCCAGCTAGCCACTCGCCACACCCACTCCTTCAACCACACCCTTCCTCTGCTCTGGCCTTCCTAAGCCCCATCCCCCTGGAGTTTATACAAACGGCTGTAACCCACAGACTGGCCTCCTTGCTGCACGAAGCTTATATCCTCATCTTGTCTTCCCCATTGCGCTTCCCCTTCCACCTCCCAGCTTTCGCATGAGAAGTCTCGTGACTTTGCTCAAGAAGCTTTCCCAGATGCGCTGATTCCAAGGCACCTGCCGATGGGGCAAGTGGAGGGCTGAGCTCACTCAGCTTGCCAGTCCTTGCACCCTGCTCAGAGCTGTGTCCACCAGAGGAAGAGAACGTTTTCCTTTCCCCCAAAAGTATCACCTGTTCTCCAAGTTGCATGCCACAGAGCAGGCTCTTTTTTGCTGTTTTAAACCAGGGTCCTTTGCAGTCCAGGGTGTCCCCATTGTTCTCCAGCCCCAAATTCAGTCTCCTGTCATCACAACAGTACTGACATATGGGTACTGATTCCCTGTAAAGGTACATTCTTTCTGTCATAGTACCTAAAGCTAGGACTTTGCCTGTTTTTTTACACCCTGGTGCCTCGGAAGACTTTGTTTTCTTCTTCTGCCTCAGTTCAAGTTCAGTGGTAAGCAAGAAATAGGTAAAGTCTAGGACCTGCGGGATCAGGAAATCAGATGAAGGAGCGGTGGTTTCCTTCCTTGTCAGCATGGCCAGGTTCAGGGCAGCCTGCACAGAGGCAAGGGGTCGGTTGGAAACCCCTTGTGGGGCACCCTGCCAGCCGGACTCCCCCTGCACAAATGGGGCCAGCCCTATGCAAATGTGTTCTTGCCCAGGAGTTTGGTTTCTTCTCTCCGAGCTCCTGGCACAGTGGAACCAACGTGAGCGGCTGCTTGGCAGGGCAGAGAAGGGCAGGCTAGCAGTCCCAAGGCTCGGGTGACAGGGACAGGCCCAGGAGACGGGGATGTTGACTGGGGCTTTAACAGCACTCCTGATGCCAATCTCAGGCTGAAAACTCGATATTTCCACTCGGAACAACAAGAAACACCAAGAGGGCTGAGGAGAGGGCAGTATACCAGGAGTGCCCCCTGCAGGTCTGCCCACACGGATCTGAAACAGAAGGTGGCAGCAAGGACTGGGCAGGTCCTTTGGAGGTCCCGGGGATGATGGTGATGATGTTGACAAATATAATGTGAGGGGGAAGAGGAAGTTGGTAGCTAGTATTTCTGAGTACTTACAATGTGTCTGATATTGCTTTATGTCATCTTCATGACAGCTTCTAAGACATAAATCATATGTTTGTTCTCCTATTGTACTGTATTTTACTTTTTTTTTTTTTTTTAAGAGTTGGAATCTCACTCTGTCACCCAGACTCGACCTGCTGGGCTCCGGCGATCCTTCCACCTCAGCTTTCCATGTAGCTAGGCGTGTGCTACCACACCCGGCTAATTTTTTTTTATTTATTGTAGAGATGAGGTCTCGCCAAGTTGCCTAGGCGGGTCTCGAACCCGCGGGCTCAGGCAATTCACTCACCTCAGTCTTCCAAGGCGCGGGATTACAGGCTGAGCCACCGAGCCCGGCATTGTATTTTACTTTTTTTTCAGGATCTAGCTCTGTCACCCAGGTTGGAGTGCAGCAGCATGATGATGGCTCACTGCAAGCTCGACTTCCTGGTATCAAGGAATCCTCCTGCCTCAGCCTCTTAGCTAGGATTACAGGCACAAGCCACCATGCCTCACTAACTTTTTTAAAAATTGTTTTGTAGAGACAGGGTCTCTCCATGTTGCCCAGGTAGACTTGAACTCCTAGCCTCAAGCCATGCTCCCCTTGGCCTCAAAGAGCACTGGGATTATAGGCACAAGCCATCATGCTGGGCCACTGTTCTTTTTCAGATGAAGAGAAGAAGTAAAGTAGTTTGGGGTTTAGAAGGGGTAGGTCATTTGCTCAAAGTCAATCAGCTAGTAGTGGGGTGGGCAGAGCTAGAATCTGAACTCAGGTTATTGCCTCCTAAGCTTATATAATTCAATGCCCCTTTTCTTCATGGCCAGCTCATTCCAGAAACATCCAGCCCTGCAGTGTTTGCGTCTACGTCTTCTGGCTCCTCTAACTCATATTTTCTTGTTCCAACTTTAAGGGATCTGGAGAAGACTAGATCAATATCTTGGGTATAATAACAGTGACAATAATAACAACAGCACCTTGCATTTGCATACTGCTCTCTGCTTTTAATTCTTCCTCTAGGGAAAACTGAACATTGAAGTGTTTCCATCTCTCCAAATTTTTTTTCTGATCTTTATCAGTGTTCCCCACAGCTATTTCTATCGAGTCATGATCAATTTATAAGAATATTTTTATGTTCTGCTTTTTTAATGTAACAGTGTCTTTGCATACACATGTGTGAATATGGAAACACAGTCATGATCATGGCTTTACAGTAACATATCTGTTGATAGGCCACAGATAAGACATGACTGACACTGCATCACTTTGTGCAAAGAGTATGGGGCTGACAACATGAAGTGCTGGCAAGGATGTGAAACGATAGGAACAGGAATTCATCACCGATGGGAATGCAAAAGGTACAGCCACCTTGGAAGACAGTTTGGCAGTTTCTTACAAAACTAAACATACCCTTACCGTACAATCCAGGGAAGACGCTCCTTGGTATCTACCTAGAGGAGTTGAAAACGTGTCCACATAAAAAAAAACCTTCACACGGATGTTTACAGCAGCTTTATTCATAATTGACAGAACTTGGAAGCAAAAAAGATGTCCTTTGGTAGGTGAATGGTTAAACTGTAGTGCATCCACACAGTAGAATTTTGTTAGCACTAAAAAGAAACATGCTATCGAGCCATCAAAAGACATGGAGGAAACATAAATGGGCTTACTAAGCAAACCAAGCCCATGGAGAAGTCTCCATACCGTGAACTATTTGATACTCTGGGAAAGGGAAAACTATGGAGACAGTAAAAAGAGCAGTGGCTGGCAAGGCTTGGGGAAGGGCAGGATGACTGGGCAGAGCACAGAGCCCTTTGGGGGCAGCGAGACTACTCTGCATGATACTATATGGGTAGATACATGTCATTATGCTTTTGTCCAAACTAACAGAGGGTACAACCCTAGGAGTGAGCCCTGACGTAGCCTCTGGCCATTTATGTTTGGGTGGTTATGACACATCAGTGCAGGTCCATCAGTTGGAGCCAGTGCTCCACTCTGGTGGGAATGGGGAAGGTTGTGTGTGTCACGGGGTGGAGGGGGCAGGGGAAATAGCAACAATCTCTGTACCCTTCCTCTCAATTTTGCTGTAAACCTAGAACTGCTCTTAAAAAAGAAGTCTTGAAAAAGCACAGGGTGACACAGATGTGTGAGTTGAACTCAACCTCTGTCCAAGTGACACTTGGTAAATCACCTCACTTTTCTCAGTCTGAGTTTCCTCATCTCATCTGGGAAAAATAACGCCCATCTTGTGGGGTCGCCATGCGGATGAAGTAAGGTGTGTGTCTCATCCATAGATGACATGCGGTGAATTCTTGCAGCAGCTGGGAGTGGTGGTTCAAGCCCGTAATCCCAGCACTTTAGGAGGCGGAGGCAAGAGGATTGCCTCAGCCCAGGGTTTGAGACCTTGTCTCTACAATAAACAAAAAAAATTAGCCAGGTGTGGTGGCATGCACCTGTAGTACCAACTACTTGGAAGGCTGAGGTGGAAGGATTGCCTGAGCCCAGTAGGTTGAGGCTCCGGTGGCCAGGAGTGTGCCAGCCACTGCACTCCAGTCTGAGTGACAGTGAGACTCTGACTCAAAAAAAAAAAAAAAAAAGAATTCTATCAGTAGTGTATATGTTACATATCTCTCTTCCTCATGGGGTCACAAGTTTCTTGAGGACAGGGACAACCTTGTTTCCATAGCTACCCCCCCACCTAGCCCACCGCCTGGACACTTGGGCACAATAGGTTTGTTTGTTGAGTGAATAGCTGGTAAGCCCTAACCTGGGCTTTTCTCTCTGTGGGATGCTAGAGTTGCTTCTAGGCTTTCTGCTATGAACAAAATACATTTTGAAGCCCTTCTGGATGCCTCATTTGATCTGTGCATCCCGTGAAGCAGGATGCAAAGGGGGCTCATGCATATGTCCACACAAAGGGGGCTCATGCACATGTCCACACTCTGGGACAAAGGGAACAACTGTGGCTCAGGAAAGTGAAATGACTCCTATGTGTCACATCACAAATCAGTAACGATGATTAGAACCCCTGACCCTGCCTCCCTTCGTCAGGTGATCTCTTTTTCCTCTAGCCTCTCCTCAAATGCAGGCTGGGATGGAGGCCTGAGCCGAGGGCCAACCCTGCACCCAGAGGGTCCTGTCAGAGGCGTGAGCTGGTGACCCCCAGATGGCCCTCTGAAACCCCAGGAAACCAAACGCCTTACTCCCAAACACATTAGGGCCTGCTTCTTCCCAGAACAAGGAGTTGCTTAGGAAGAAGCTAGAGTGCCAGCTTTGTTTTCCTTTCTTCCTTCCTTCCTTTCTTTCTTTCTTCCTATGTGGGGGTGAGAGGCGAGTTCTGAGTTGTCCAGAAGGAGGGACTTTGGCTAAAAATAGCCATGGCGTGTGGATCAGCCCTAGTGGTACCCGGGACTGGAGAGGGAGGGGGGATGCTCTGAGGCTGTCGCCAGATTGGTTGCCGTGGAAACGAGAGAGGAGCAGGGGAGCCTGGGAAGTGGGGATGACACAGATAGCAAGTCCTAGTCAGAGCCGCGGCTACATTTAGGAGAAACAGCGGTGTCTGCGGCGCCCAGCCTCCAAGGGGACCCGTGGGGGGGGCGGTGTCAGGGGCATGGACGCCACCCCCCAGGGGTCTCTGCTGCCGGCTACTCTCTTCTCCACGTGCTGTGAGTTCAGTTGTGGGGGACTTGGGTCTGGGCCCCTATTTCCAAGGCAATTGGGGGTTTGGGAGGACCTGGGTCCTGCGGGAGTTTTCACCAGATCTCCTTCCAAAAAACAAGCCCCTTGCCACCCAGCACTCTCAGGGGGAGGAAGAGGGGTCCAGGAGAACGTGGTACTGGGATATTCTGGAAAGGGGTCACAGCATGCCCAGAAACGAGGAGAAACAGGATGGAGGAGCTGGAATTCTTGGAGGGAAGATGCAGAATCGAGTCCTTGATCTTGGGATAGAGGCAACAACTCCACACCTTTTCCTCCCCGTGAGAAAAACGCAGCCCCCACCCAGGAAGACAGGAGATGGGACACGATCAAAGTAAGGCTTACCGAGATCCCCGGGGGCAGTGGAAAGCAAGAGTTGTGGGGGGTGATCAAACACTGGGGTCCCTTCCCCATCCCTGGGCAGAGAGATCTGGTCAAGTAGGCAGACTGGGGGTCAGATTACCTAAGGCCCTGAGAGAACATCTGGAAGCCCACCTGGGGCTAAAGCTAAGATGAATGGGACCCAGGTACTCTTCTGCATGACCCGGGGTCTCTGAGCCAGTCAATGCTTAGAGATCACTTCTGAGGACGTCCTGAGCTGCAGGGAGGGAAAAGGAAGCCCATGCTGGGGGGAGGGGAAGACCCTGATCTACCATCGCTACGGGGCTCCTGGGCCCTGTGTCCCCTGACTCCATGGAAAGCAAGTGGGAGGGTGCCCCTAAGCTCCAAGTCATCTATCTCCACCCCACCCGCTGTCCCAGCACACACACAAGCCCTCTCCAAAGGTCTGGGCGCAGAGCGTCTCACTCCAGAACTTAATTCTGGAGTGCTGTGTTTACAGTTAGATATCCAGGCAGTTTTGCCCAGGACCAGGTCATCTGTGATTCTTAAGTCACACTCCCTCCACCTCCCAGCCAGCCCAGGTTTCCTTGGAGTAGGGGGAGAGGATGATTTCCAGGAAAAAGAAGGGAGGTGGAAGAGTCCCAAATCCTGTTTCGAGACCTTTCCTTGTATGGTCCAGACCTCCTAGGAGACCCTGGGTGCCTCGGGAAGGGCTCTGGGCTCTGGACCTCTCTCAGGGCAGATTGCAGCTCAGAGAGCTCCTGGGGTGGGGGGGGGGGCGGGTTTAAAGCAAAATCAGGAATCAGGTGGGCTTTGCTTGGAATGTGGGCTTGGGGCATATGGCAGGTGGGGGCGGGGCAGGTGTTGGGATAATCAATGGGAAGTAGGAGATTGGGGGAAAGAGCTAGAAGGGGGAGACACAGGCGTGGGTGTTTAGTGCTTCACTTGATCTGGTTCCACGTCCCTCTGGTGAAGAGCTGGATACCAGAGGGACACCGCCTAAGTCTTGGGGGACTCTGCTTCCTGTACCCAGGCTGTCTGCCTTGATCTCGTACCCTCTTGTCCCCTCCCCATTTTCAGGCTGTGTCCACGGGGGAAGGGCGCTGACACCAGAGCACCAGTGCTCTCGGTCAGGCCACAGGGAGGACTTCTGCTGGAAATTTCCTAATGGTCAGCCCCGGGCCCTGGGGCGCTTCCCCTGCCTTTCCACAGCTTCCCTTTCCTTCTCCTTTGCAAGCTTCTCCAGGGTAGGAAGCCGCGGGAGGGGACAGAGCGAGACTGGCTGGGTGTCAGTCTCAGCATGAACTTCACGGGGCCTGGTTAGACCTTCCAGGTGAATTCAGAGAACAGTCTCCGGGCCTGCACGGCGCAAAGGATGGCGGGCGTCGCGAGGGCAGGGAGCGCTCCACGCGGTCGAAGAAGCCCAAGAGCGCCCAGCCCAGCGGCTTCAGGAGGCCCCCTCCGGGCCCGCGTGCTTTGCCCCCCCGCCCCCGGCGCCTCGCCCCCGGGCGTGCGGGGCGTGCGCGGGGCCCCGCGG